GCTAGCTAATTATGCAAATCGTTGGGAGTTTCATAACTCCTCCTGGTTTACTTAGGTATGACTTAACTTGTTTTTAATATATTCTAGGTACTTTATTGGAGATGTCTTGCGTTTTCGCAGCTGGTAAAAGCTTGCAGGCTAGCTGTTACAGACTTCAGATCGTCTCATCTCTTCTCTATCGGCTGCGAATTTTGCTATCATCTTAAGACCAATTAGAGAAAAGCAAGGACTATTTTAGCATGTCTTGTTGACCCGATGAATAAAAAGTGTGCCTTTTATGCTTACAATCAGCGTCAACTCAGTCAGGCTGATGGCAAATGATAGAGAGTGCAACGAGGTAGTGGAATAATTTAAGTCTATTTGAAACTTTGTCTCGACAGTACGCAAATTCGCAAAAGATGGATTACCGGATGCTCTGGGAAGCGGGGCCCAAACGTTTAACAGTTGCTCAAACATAGGCTTGCTCAAGGAGATTGACACTTTAGTGCAGGTGTGGGCTCAAGCAGAAAATTAAAAGTGAATATATTAATCTGTTAGATCCTGGTTCATCATTCCAATTACATCCAGTCTAAAAGTTAGTGCATATGCTTGTAGTTGATGTTGCAACATCAACGTCAACATCAACTGCAGCTGCAAGAACCACCACTACCATGCGACTGCCATCCCAGTGACTAGCGTGTTATGTAACACTCCCACTCACGCTTGACTTAGTATCAGATAAGGACTTGTTGATACCACTGGAGGCACGTAGTTCAGTTGTACGAGTTGTCGCCAATGCCTTCGTCATCATGTCGGCTAATTGATGGATTGTTGGGAAGTATTTGGTTTCAGTTTCACCATTAAGACTCGCTCACGGACAAAATGGTGGCGGATATCAATATGCTTCGAACGTGCATTGTAACCAACATTGTGCGCCAGGGCAATGGCTCCCTGATTATCCTCATAGATTACCGTTGGACTTGACTGTTGTAATCAAGTTCTTTCATTAAGATTCGAGCGCAAACGGCTTCCTGTGTGCATAGGCTCAAAGCCATGTATTCGGCTTCAGCTGAGATCATTGCAACCATCTTCCGATATTTTGCTTTAAAGCCAACCGGTCCACCTTAAAGCATCAACAAAAAACCAGATACTGATCGTCGATCATCTACATTGCTTCCCTAGTCTGCATCACTTAACGCAACCAGAGATTGTTTCGAAACACCCCCACTGAAAGTCAATATGATACATCGAGTTGTATACAAATACCGCAGTATACGAATTGCAGCCTTCCAATGTGCCGGACCAGCGCAATCCAGGAAACGACTGAGATTT